TATGAACCCAATAGAAAATGTTTGGGAGCTCATAAAGAGGGAAATCGCAAATTAAGAAATAACAAAAAAAATTCGCCTTCTTGAAAATAATTCAAGTCTGGTACCATCATCCAGAGTTGCAAAAACCTATCCACGCATGCATTAAAATCATACCAAAAAGAATCAAAGCTCTAATAGCCGCCAAAGGTGGCATGACAAAGTGTTAAAGATATACATGTGCATGGAGATTTTTATGAAAATTAGTTTATATATTATAGTGACGGTCATAATTTTGCATATGATATCTTGTTTTTATCGTAAGTATTCAATTATTACTTATGTATATCGTTAGAAATAAAAAAATACATTTTTCGTCACAAAAACGTGAATTTTATTGAAAATTTAGGGTGCGTCTAATAATATGGCCAGGGACTGTGTGTGTGTATATATATATATATATATATATATATATATATATATATATATATATATATATTAAATTATATATATATTATATATAAAATTAAAATGACATTAATTTCCCGATCCATTTGCTAATTTATTACGTACGTCGATACACTTATCATACAATTGTTCGCGTTTTAGTACTTTCAAACTCATTTTCAGTTCAGCTTCGAACTTCTAATAACTCGACAAAAATAACTTTAGATTACGGATCAAAACCTAATAGATATTATCGACATCCAGGCCCAGCTTCGTCTTACTATTGTTGCTTTCGTCATGGCTTTCATTTACTAACAAATATTATCAATTTTATTCCTCTCATGTAATGACCTATTACAAAACACTATTTAATCATAATCGTTTACGACATCGTATAAAAAGATTCTTGCGTTCTATTTATACGATTATGTGATTCTATTGATACTGAATCCTCTTTCGTTCTATTGATACGATTCATAAATATGTCATGATAGTTCGTAAAATATCGTAAAAGAGGCTTGCTCGTTGTTATCTCTTATTCAGCTTCATAATGAAAGAAAATAGTCGCAAGTATTTTTGCTGCCAAACATTATCCTTACAGTCTATATTTCATTTTTATAAGTCTCGATGTGACTGACTGCTCTCAGACGATTTTCTCTGTTTCGCGGTGATTTTGAGATTATAACATTTCTGGTATACAATCAATTATTAAATTCTAAATTTTTGTTAGTTAAAATTACATGATACACTTTTAAAAGGTTTAAAATAGTATTTTTTGTATACCAGCATTATAAACAACCCTTTTACATTAACAAAATCGTTCATAAAATGGCATTTTATTGCACGAATCATTAAGTCTTGCTATTTATGCACGAAATATGAGCCATCACTGACGTAATAGTCACAGCCCCTATATATTATCAGTTATGGAGTTTAAAGAAGGCAGTGGTACCATGTAATTAGATTGCAGTGTTCGCAATAAAATCAATTACGTTATGAAAAAACTTACTTTTAAAAACTGATTTATTAATTTATTACTCCTATAAAATTATATTTTGTTTTTATTTGTTTTTTTTTTTTTGAAATATTAGGCAGGTAACCGACAAACATCTAGCCCGTAACTTGGAGACATACCTTGTGTTAATAGAGCTACGTAAGGCCTATGACACTGTTCCATTATCTAGGCTGTGGATGGCAATGGGGAAACAAAATGTAAATATACAATTGATTAGATCCGTTAAAGTTTGGTACAGTAATAATACGACCCAAATAAAAGTATACAGAAACGTTTCCGAACCACTTCCAATTACTAAAGGTTTACAGAGGTGCTGTTTACCCCCGACTTTGTTTAAAATATATTTGAATGAAGCCCTGAGAAGATTGAGGAAGAAATGTAGTAATATTGGTAGTAAAATTGGTGACTATCTTATTCTCTTGACTCTTCGAAAATCATCAGGTGGTGTTCGCTGAAGATGAAGGCGATGCTCTACATGTGCTGCGCAAATTATATGAGTACTCGGAATAGGGATGAGAAATAAACCATAACAAGACTGACAATATGGTGGTACACGAAAATGCTAAAGGTCTGGAACTGGATGATGGTTCGGAAGTAATACCGTATCAAAAATTCACATATCTCGGTACAAAAATAAATGCAAATGGAGGCAGTACTTAAGATATTAGGAACAGTATTGCAAAAGGCAGAGTTGTTATAAGATAATTACATTCACTAATATGGAAAGATAAATAAAGGAATAGTGTAAAGAGAAAATTGTGTAAGACTGTTGTAGAGAATGGGTCTGAGTTATGGGGCGTAATAAAAAAGAGAGAAAAATGACAGCAATGGAAATGGACTTCTGGCGCCAAAGTTGCGAACTGACTTTAATGGATAAAGTTAAGCAAGAAGAAATTAAACGTAAAAAGGAAGTAAGATTTAACACAATTGTCAACATAGAAGTGAAAAGACTAAAATAGTAAGGGCACATGAAAAGAATGAACGTTGGAATGATTGTTGGAAAATATTGTAGAAATGGCAACGATCTACCCATCGAAGGAGAGGAAGACCTAGACTTACATGGGGAGGGGGAGTAGAGGAGGCAATGGTGAAAAGAGGATTGAGAAATGAAGACTACATCGATAAAGACGTATGGAGGCTGGGATGCGAAACACACCTAGAGTGTAATATAATTCGCCATACTACTACATATGTTCTTTGTAATAATTCTGTAATTTGGTGTATTTTCCCAATGGATAGTAGATTTAATTCAATTTGACAGTGCCTTTACAATTCAGCTCCTAGCGCTTGTCTCTAAACACCAACTTTGCAAACCCTAGAACGCGTTATGGCTAGGGTATTTAATCATTTGCCTCTGCAGGTTTCGAAGCGGTTGCCCGGGAGAGCAAGCGTAGACGATCATCTACAGGCGTGCAAGATCTACTACTGCCCCCGTCTAAACTCTCACTGAAACTGCGAAACCGAATTTCACGCCTCGAAAACTACCGAATTGTACTGCGAGATGTCGCGTTGTCAGCACTACATGTTATAGCGATCCGATCACCTTTAATTTTTGTATTGCTTATGGAAACTACATTTTTGGGAGCTTAACTTTAAAGCATAAATAATAATTTGCAAAAAGCCTGTTTGTAGCTTTCATTTATTGTTCAAAGATCACAATATTGAAGACGTGGGAAATTACGATATTAATAATAATAACAAAAGCGCGAAACAGGTGATTCACACACGAGATGAGCGCGCAAACTACCTCGCGCCCGTGCTGCGTATACATTTTTTAACATGCCATGAGCGAAAATTAATGAGTCAAGTAAAAGAATATAAATTAAATATCAAATATCTAGAAATACTTTACTTGAACAAAAGTAAATGGATTCCAGTCAGTATCGTAACACGGCTGTTTGTAATAATAAACAAAGACGTCGACAAAACAAAAGGCAATTGCGAATCGCTACAAATGCTTCGCACACGCTTCGCGATGTTTCGCATACACTACGCAATGTTCGTATACACGTCGCAACGCACTGTGAAACAAAATAGCTGTTTCGCATACACAAAACAAGCACAAAAAACCGCGATTCGCGCGGGGCGTGTTAAAAAGATAATTTGTATAATAAAGAAGATACCTCCTCGCCAAATGTAGAGTTTTGAAGACCTTTGGCTGATTCCAGTAATGTCTTCTCTGAATAAGAAATATACTTAGGGTGGTAAATAAATTCTTCTTTCAATTTGCTCTGCATGGGTGCGATTGCTTCTACGAGGAAGGTGAATTTTCTGAAATAATAAAAAAAGACTAAAATTGGAAAACGCTTGAAGTAAAGAAATGATTGCAAGAAACTAACATGGCGTTTCTCGTATTTTCTCTTTATTAATGATTTTTAACTACTCAAAGATAATTGCAGTCTTTTATAACACAGAATAAACTATAACACCGAACAATTTTTCTTTATATATATATATATATATATATATATATATATATATATATAATGTGTGTGAGTGTGTGACTACGCAGTGTAATTTTTGACTTTCAACAAATTTCCTGACTTAGTTGTTTTTAAATAAATAAAATTGTATTTTTAATTTCCAGTATACGTTCGTATATATGAAATATATAAAATATTCGAAGTACAGAGAGATTTATGTAATGCTGGGACAAATATATTTCGAGATTTTAACGGTAACACATATTTTGGGTGCCGTGATATAAAAAAATGTTGTTATTTTTTTCAAAACGTCCGTGCGTCCATCAGTCGGTCTGCCTGACTGAATGTCCGTCCGTCCGCCCGCCCGTGCGTCTTCCGTGCGACCGCCTGTCTGTGTGTCCGACCGTAACCGTCTGTTCTTCCATGCCTCTGACCGGGACTTTCTTCATCTCCAATCCTTATTAAAAAGGAAAAAACAATAAATTTGTTTAAACTACGGAGTTTCATTTTATTATTTTTAATGTAAATGTTTCAAATTTTAATTAAATACTCTATTTTTCTTTCATTTTATTTTACAGTATATTGCTGTTAAACTTTCTTCGGAGTCTCAAAGTGTTTTCATCAAAATCTCTTATTAAAAGTCCGCATTTTTTGTAAAATGAAAATTAAAACTAATATGAAAAGTGAAAAAATAAAAAAAGTGCGTTATAATTTTCAGATTTACTCATGCTACATGTGTTGTCAATCCAAGTAAATTTTACCCAAGGTAATAATACATTTTACAAAACAATCATTAAACCACCACAAATCGAAATAGTTTGAACAAGAATTGCGTCAGTTCGCCAGACTTGTGTGGATTGAAATACATCAAACAATACATGATGCTGTGGACTGCATGTACTCCACTTACGGAGATAAGGTGTGAAAGTATTTATTTTGGTTTTTTAAGAACTTTGTAATTAAAGTTCCAAGAAACAGTAAACTACAGTGTTACAAAATTTTAATTTAATTTTTTTACAATTAGAATTACAATTTTTATCCTGATGTCAGAAACCGCATTAGTTTTTTACCAATCTTTGACAAAATTTGCGAGTAGGTTTGTGACAATTCTAAAGAAGAGTCTAAAAAATTATATATCAATCCAAACTATCCTTACCATTCATTTAAAAGCATAACAAACTATTCGAAGTGAGCCAATATAAATTACAAAATTAATATTAACCTAATATAAACCTAATTAATATGCTAACTCTAACGCCAACAGATGGCTCGGCTAGACCTTGGAGTTGCAACTGCTTATGCTCAAAATCGCATGTATTGAACAAATACCTCAATGATTTTTGTTTTTTGACCTCTTTATTTTATTTTTCCTGATTTAAGTAATTTTTAAATTCCGTAAGTAGGCGGTAGTAGACATCTTGTGGTAATCCATAATGGGGAAAGGATAAATCGTCCACAAAGAAGAATAATAATTTTATTACCTATTACATTCCCAGAATTAAGCTTCATGAAAACACTTTTCCCATCCTCGGTGGGGCGTAGTAAAGAGAACAAAATTGCAAAATTAACATAAAGGAACAAATCGAAATACAATACATTAATGCGAAAAAAATTAACGAATAATATGAAATAAATAAAAATAAAAATACTTACTGCCTAACCAACGTGGATCACTTACAAATGTTTGCAACATTGTCGGAAAAAATACGAAAACTGAAAAACATGCTGGGTACGGCTAAGTGGCATCCATCTTGGGACTGCTTTTAATTAAGAAATGTTCTATCAAGATAGAAAAATTAGTATTTTTGAAACGTTATACAATTTCCAACTTTTCCAAAATGTTCATTTTTTTACTTTTGTTGACCAAGTGAAAGATTTTAAAATTATAATTAGGGTCAAAGGAATGGTTAAATTTCATGACGGCAAAGATGCAAGTGTCTAAATTTTGTTTCCAACATCTAATGTGAATGATCATGGCAATCCGTAAGACGCCGCGTCGAAGGCTGTATTGTCAAACAATTTAGAGCAGAGCATTTCAAAACAGGAACAATTTGAAAGAAAAATACGTAAAGGACATTTTCTCAAAAACTGCTCCAAATTTTCCCTTAAAAAAAAACAAACGCTAGTACTACTCACCTCAAAACGAGGGGTTCTTTGTATTTCATCTTCTTAATCTGGTCTTTCAATGGACCAACAAAGTTCGTATGCTTTCCATGGAGAAACTTCCTCTCAGCTAGCTGTGCACAGCCAGGGTCTCTTTCCCGCAGATCACTAAGGAATCTGGATGCAGGTGAGGCAGAGAGTTTCGAAAATAAAGGTTTAATATGATTGTAAATATCGTCGCTCACAACTTGCGTTAAGTTATTTAACTTTGCGAGGGACCAGGACGATGCGTACTCCATCAAATTATTACCAAGTCTTCCGTCGCCTGCTTGTGAAAACACAATACCAGCGAGACAGCTGATATTAGGAACATTCGTGATAGTTTCCGTAATGCTGTTCTTGATAGAGTTATTATGATAGTTTTTGGTAATTTTGTTTTCAGCATATTCCCCCGATGATACAAAATTTAAGCTTAGCCGATTCGGTAGCATTAAGAAAACACCACCAAAAAATGCAACAAAAATCAACAATAATACTTTCAAATGTCCCATACTCTTCAACACTATTCGGAATCTGCAAAGATAAATATTAAAACAAATAATTACATCTTTTAATAATAATATGAATAATTATTTATATTTATTATAAAATGTAAGTTTTTCACTAAATAATGCAAAGATGAACAAAACAAAAGATTATATACATACTAGTCCAAAAAAATCTTCCAAAATTCTCATCAATTTATTGTAGTAGTTCCACAGTTGGCTCCAAAACTTTAACGAAAGCACTGAAAAAATAAAAGTAATAAAAATAGTAATGATAATACTAATACTAATACTAATAATAATAATAATAATAATAATAATAATAATAATAATAATAACAATAATAATAACAACAACTCAGCTTGGGAAGTATATGACCTCGACGTTGGTGATGAAGCTTGAGTGACCCTGAGGGCTATGCTGGCGGTAGCGTTGCTACTGATAAGACCTCCATTGCCGGACAGGTCAAAGGGTGGAGGTCAGACAGAGAAGTACTCCAGAAAGGGACCTCGAAAGCAAGAAGAGGACGGCAAAGCGCAAACTTGACAAAAGGACTAAGCGAGGAAGGCCTCCGACATGCCGAAGAGAATCTGTAGAGAGACAGGTCTCAGAAGACGAGAGGGGAGTCAGCCTGTCTAGGGGAGGATACCTCGAATAAAAAATCAAAACTCTACGAGTAGCATTAAAATGCCCCAGCCCAATATGAGTAGACGAATATTCAGAAATACAGCGATCGGTCTTTGTAGGTCCGCACAGTAGTTTCTGACACCGAGCCTTCTGTATCGAATATGTTTGCTGTGTCAGTGGTCAGCGGTAGACCTGGCACAGATCAAGATAGTCAGGAGCGGCACCGCGCCACTCATGGCTGTTGGTTTTTCGCGAGACATGAAAAAAAGACACATGTAACGAGTAATGGTTAATAGTTTGTATTATTGGAAAAAAAAAGTTTTGTAACGTAACAGCAGAACTTAAGTTTGTCGATGTATTAAAGAATGATATACCACGCACGTCTTACTGTAAAAGAGTAGTAACAATATATGGTATCAAATCGTGGTTACGCGGTTAAATTATTTACGTCTTTATGTGATTAACGTGGCTTAATAATCAAGGTGGATAACGTTTCGATGCCGTTCGGAAATATTGGTTCGCTTACCAATAATAATTATATGATGCGGATGACAACGCTACTACGTTCCAAACAACGGTGTGATGAAATAATTATTGCAGAAGAACCGAAATGTACCGCGGTAAACGAGGTGAACTTAAAAGTCTGTCAAGACTGGCCCCGAAAGAACAACAAAGCGATGGGTCTGTTGGGTATGGCCTTGTCGGACGAACAACTCATGACTCGCCGTGGGATGGATAGAACGAAGGAATTATGGGAGAATCTATGAGAACATCACGAGGGCATTCAGAAAAGCAATCTAATTAATTTAAGGATTAAACGCGCAAAAATAGAAATAAAGAGAGTAGAAACAATCACTTTTTTTGACAAGAGTTCAAGAAGTAAGATGCGAGATACAAGAACGTGTTACGAGTATTGACGCCACAGAATTGATACATTTCGAGTTGAATGGTCTTCCTAAACACTGGGATAAATTAGTTACAGCATTATTTGTGAATCCTAATATTTCATTGGAACAAATGAAAGAATCTTTAGTTAGATTCAAAAGTAAACGTGGTTCGCATAACTTTCACGGAGAAACGAATGTTGTTTTCAAGGCTAAAGAACAAAAGAAAATTTTGTATGTGTGCGGATAACATGGGCACGTTGCTCGTAACAGTTGGTTTAGGACTTCTGTATATAAAAAGGTATTATGGTGAAAATCGAGGAAGAGACTACTATAAATCACGTTATCTCCAAGATTGTAAATATACTCGATCTCCCTTTCGAAGTGTAAATTACACAAGTACAAACGATTTACTTGAACTCTTGCATTTAGACACGTAGGCTGATTCTTAAGTCAACTTTCAACGCATTTTTTTACTTTCTACTTATAAAAGATAATTTAAGTCGGAGATTATTTATTGAATTTTAATTATTTATTGAATTATAAGTCAGATGTGTTGACTAACTAATTGAATTCATATCCCAAAGAGACAACGAGACAGGACGTATATTAAAAAGTCTGAGATTGGTTAACGGAGAATTTAATAACACTCAAGTGGAACAATTTTGTATTAGAAAAGAAATCAAGCATGAATATACTGTACCCTACTCTCTTCAGGGTAATGGGGTACTGGAACGGGACATAGAAAATCGCCCGATTCTGTTCGCACCTTGCTGTTAGATTCACGTCTTCCTTTGCAATTCTGGGGAGAAGCATCATTGCCTCCGGTGAATGTAAAAAATGTATTACCTTCTTCTCAAAATCCTGATCTTACTCCATTAGAAAGATGGTCTCGACGAAAGCCAAATATCTTACATTTTAGAATCTTTGGATTACTGCATATTATGCTGATAACAACCCTCGACGTCACAAATTAAAACCTAAATGGAAAATGGGAATGCCAAAAATGTCGCCCCTCGCAGGGTATGCCAAAATAGACGCGATTATATAATTTATGACGTTAACAATATGAAGATATATGAAAGCAGGGACGTGGAGTTTGACGAATCGAAGATGGGATATGACGTAAGACAGACATTTAAGAATACTCTTGAAGACAATCAAAATGTCGATGTTCAGAGAAAGAATCGTATGGAAACGAACAGAGATTTATTTTTGATAGAGAACACAAGAAATGACACGAGTGAAGTTGCTGTTTGTACAGAAAAGAAAGTTAACGAAGAGATACAACAAGAATTCATTCAAACATCAGAAGATATTCAAACCGAGCATTCCGTATGAAGATCTCTCAGAGAAAGATGACCAGTAGAAAGATACGGCAATACTGCAAGAAGAATGGAAACAACAAATTTTCGATTCGGAAATAACGCCCATAACATTCCAAGAAGCCACTACCAGACCAGAAAGAAAAGTATGGAATAAAGCGATTGAGAAGAAAATCAAGTTTACAAAGATATGGAATATAGAAAGAAGCTAATGTAAATGAAATTAGTACCGAACAGAAGATGTGAATGTGATTTCTGGAAATGTAACACACAAAGCTCGCTTAGTGGTTAATGGCTCTAACCAAATAATCGGCAATTATTTCGAACAGACATACAGTTCTGTAACGAAGTTAGAAACTTAGGAAATATTATTTTTGATTGCAGCGTTGGACAGATATGTTGTAAAATATGTGGATATAGAGACAGCATACCTAAATAGAGAAGATAACCGAGATGTTTATATGCACGTGCAAGAAATAAAACAAAGAATCCGAGGACAAGATTATTGAAACATGAAAAGAGTTATACAAAGACCTTTCTATGTAACACGTAACTATTACTAGTTTGTATTATTGGAGAAAAAACGTTTTGTAACAAATATGTAGAACTGATTAAGTTTGTAGATATATTAAAGAATGTTATACCACGCACGTTGACTTCTTACTGTAAAATAATAGTATCAACAATGGTGACTGCGGAGAAAACAGCACAAACTGTTTCTAGACGAAGTGACTTGAGGACAGAGCCATCCGCAAAGTCTTCCCCTGATTCAAGTCTGATTGGCCAACGCATGAAATGGTCAAAAGAGGTGAATATCTCTATAATGCGTGCGTATTACCAAATTATTGTATAAAAGTGGAGGTAGAATGTGAAGGGTGTAGGGTAAGGATGCACGCAGAGTGGAAGAAAATGTATCCTAACGGCATCCTGAATGAACAACGGATATGTTGTCAACTGAACTCTATTCAGAGAAGAAATGCACTAAAACTGCAGACTTGGATCAATAACCTCAAACAAAACAAAACTACAACAAAACATGGATCAATAACCTCAAATGTAGGCAGCACAGCTTGACAAAGAAAATCTACAAGAGGATCCTATTGCTGAACCCGAGAAAATATCATCGGTTGATTATAATGATACGACTGTTAATAATTTGAAATATAACTATTAAGTATCTTATTTTTATAGCAAGTTAATAATTTGTGAATAATAAAGTATATTTCGTTTCAAGGTGTACTTCTGCAAATACATGGGAATAAGAAGTTTCACAATGTCTGCAAAGTAACGGACAAAATCAAGACAGCTAAGAAAGATATTGTCCATCTGACACAGTATTTCGCCAAGGTTGGAGATATCTGCAAAGGGGGGAAAACGGAAATAAATCGATAGCCAGGAGGTTGAAAATCAAAATGAGCTCCACAAATCTTAATCAAAAACTGAAAGCAGCGGAAGAGACAAAACACAGCTTTGATTTCAGCATTGGGCGTGATATTCAGGAGATAGAACGAAGCATCAAAAAGAAGACATCAGGAATTAATATTTTCTGCCGATCAGAAGATATTTCTCAGACAACTGGAGACCTGAGATGGAGGAGAGCGGCAATGCCAACCACCAAATGAAGATGATATTGTTTTATTTTCTGGTCCGAAATATGATCTGTATCTCACTATCATAACCAGCAGACATATTGCCTTCATAGAGAAATAGATGCTTGCCAAGATATAGTTGAAATGCCATCAGTTATTTTTATTGAAGCTTATATTAGAGCAATCACCAAAAAGACGCAGAACTGCAAATCGCCTGGTGCAGATGGCATTCATAATGTTTGATGGAAATACTTTACTGCTTTCGGCCTACACTTGGCTAAGTTGTTTAGCACTGTTTTGCAAGATCCATCCACATTTCCTAAATACATATTACCAGCTAATACGCTTATGTATGCTAAACAAGGTGACAGTCATCAATGACGAAATTATCGGCCAATCACCATTATCCACCAATGTCCATCAACATTATCCAAATTGTAACTGCTGCTGTATCTTCGAAAATTAATGATTATCGAAAACCTAAAAATAATTTACCTCCTGAGCAAATTGCTTGTCGGAAAGGAACTATGGGTTGCAAAGTACTACTGATTATAGATAGTGTGGTTACACAACCAGTCCGAAAATGCCTACATGATACATCTG